AGCACTTGTCTTTGAGTATGGCATTCACTTATGGCATTAATGAACACCTTGTTCCTAGCTTGTTGAGGGACTTTATACTTGGAAAATTGTGAATTAATATATTTTACTTATGTTGAATGTTCTATATCTGTTCAGGTAATTCTTTTACATTTATAAAGATTTTTATTATAATCTTTTCTATTGAATTCAGATACTTAAGAAATTCTGTAATATAATATTTTTCTAGCATAAGGTCAGTATTCCCTGTTAAGAATAAAAGACAGGGGCTGGAGCAATAGTACAGTGGGGAGGGTGTTTGCCTTGCATGCAGCCAACCCAGGTTTGATTCTCCGCATCCCATATGGGCCTCCAAGAACCACCAAAGGTGCAAAGCTGGGAGTAACTCCTGAGCATTTCCAGGTGTGGCCCAGAAAGAAAAAAAAAAGAATAAAAAACATTTTATACTTTTATAGGCCTCCACACATTTTCCTTTAAAATTCTCTTTATTGGGTGCGGGAGCAATAGCACAGCAGGTAGGGCATTTGCCTTGCATGTGACTGACCCAGGTTTGATTCCCAGCAGCCCCTATAGTCCCCTGAGCACTGCCAGGAGTAATTCCTGAGTGCATGAGCCAGGAATAACCCCTGAGCATTGCCAGGTGTGACCCAAAAAGAAAAAAAAATTCTTTATTGTCTTCTTCTCCCTCTTACTAAATTATATATTTGTAGGACTTATCTATTTCATGTAACTTTTTAAGCTATCAGTAGAGAATTGTTTATGCTATTAATTTTTAAAAGTTATATGTTCTTAAAAAAGAAAGATATAAGGGCAGGAGCGATAAAACAGTGGGTAGGGTGTTTTCCTTGCACTTGGCCGACCCAAGTTCAATTCCCAGTATCCCATAAGGTCCCCTGAGCACTACCAGGAGTAATTCCTGAGTGCAGAGCCAGGAGTAACCCTGTTCATTGCCAGGTATGACCCAAAAAGCCCCAAAAAAGAAAAAGAAAAGGAAAAAAGAAAGATATAAAGTCCTTAGAACTGAGTTTTCATGGGTAGCTTGCCTGGCTTTGCCATGCGGGCAAGATACTCTTGGTAGCTTTCCGGGCTCTCCAAGAGGGGCAAAGGAATCAAACCCGGGTTGGCCGAGTGCAAGGCAAACACCCTACCCTCTGTGCTATTGCTCTAGCCCTGTATGATATGTGTGTGTGAAAAATATAATTACTGCATTGCAAATCCTGGTACCTCAATATAAGTGGATTCTTAAAAACTTACTAGAACAAAAGAAGATGCAATCTTTTACAACCTCATCTCAGAAGAGACAAATCACCACTTCCAGGTGGAGTACTGGTCACGCAGCTCCAGCATGGGACAGGATGGGAGAGGAGCTAGCCCAGTTCTTAGGAGCCGAGACCATTTCCTGACAGCTGTTTTGGGAGAAAGCTACCTTGTGCCTATGGCACAAAAACAAGTATTGCCAAAATGAACCTTGAAAATCCTATGGATAACTTAGAAATCAGACAAGCAGATAAACTGAGGCACAAGCCAACACTGCCAGATTTTTCTCTAGTGCTAGAATGCATGACAGTTGTTGGGCATTAGCCGAAGTTGTTGTCTTAAATTAGATTGTTCCAGAAGTAATATAACTAAACACTAAGACCACATGCGAACCAGTTGTGTGCGACTATAGCTCAATTCAAGTAAATTAACGTAGTATAATAAGGTTCCAATGCACGGTTCAAGTAGAGGGTCCTAAAGGCATCTGTCATTTTAGGTCCATTTTGATGGTTCTCTTTGTTTCAGATTCATCATCACCAAGTTGGGTTTTTTTTTTTTTTTTTTTTTTTGCTTTTTGGGTCACACCCGGCGATGCTCAGGGGTTACTTCTGGCTCATGCACTCAGGAATTGCTCCTGGCAGTGCTCAGGGGACCATATGGGGTGCTGGGAATCGAACCTGTGTCGGCCATGTTGGCTGCGTGCAAGGCAAACGCCCTACCCGCTGTGCTATCACTCCAGCCCCAGTCATCAAGCTTTTTAATGATAATTTGACTTCTCAGGGCAATGGGATATATCAAGAAGAAGAAAATGTTCAGGTGCAATCCATCCCACAACCATAAGTCTTGTCATAAAGATTTTAAACGGTGTTCTGTCCTTACGTCTCTATGTGCTCGCTCAGTTCATGTGAATCTGCTCCTGAGAGATATATTCACTCTTAGTGCATTTACATAATAGACTTATGAGCCTGCTTCCCTGAGTCAGTGAACTGTGATGAATTTACCAAATAGCATCCTAGAAAGAACTATCCCAAAGGGCCTCAAATCTTGCCCAGGTGTGGCATCTATGTTCACTGAACACAGGCTATTAACACATACATCCTCACATTTCCCAGCTTCCCTGATATGGGTTAGGGGAACGTGACAGTGATGGCCAAGAGGCTATGAGCAGAACTGACTGTGTGTAACTTCCGAGCCAAAACACAGTGAAGTTTCCTCTTACTGCAGCCCTCACAGCAGTCTGCTGCTGAGATGACAGAACATGCAATCAACCCGGACCCCTGAGTGGGAGGAAGAGAACCCTTCGCAACCTGCATTAGACAAGTAAGAAGAGTGCAAATTAGCACTTGCTAGAATAAGCCTCCGTGACTTTGTAGGTCAGCATGACTTCATCTAAGCAAGCACACGAGGGTCGCCTACTCTGCCGGGAGCACTTCTTTAGAGTCAATGGCAACATTGCACCTGACCTTCTCCCTCCACACTCCCTGTCATCCCTAGGAGAAGGCAAGGGGACGCAGACAAGACAGCGAAAGATCTAGCTAGAAGTGGAGCTTTCAGACCTTCTCATAGCAGAGGAAAAGTTACTTTAAATAAAATACTCATCTGGCGCTGGAGCGGCAGCACAGCCAGGAGGGCGTTTGCCTTGTGCGTGGCCGACCCGGGTTCGATTCCCAGCATCCCATATGGTCCCCCGAGCCCTGCCAGGAGTGATTCCTGAGTGCATGAGCCAGGAGTAATCCCTGTGCATCACTGGGTGTGACCCAAAAAGAAAAAAAATAACATACTCATCCAACAGGCTCTTTGTTCCTGCTACTCGAAGCTGTCGGTTTCGTTTTCTCTCATTTATTTCTTTAGATGTTCTGTCCTTGTCCTCATCCCTACACCTTGTTGCCACTTCTAAATCCTATTCTTTGGAGTGGTGTTGGCACGGGATCAAACCCATGACTTGACACATGTGAGGCCTATGCTCTACCACGAATCACATTCCCCGAGAAATCACATTTCCTAGAGCGCTACTTATGCTTCAGTCAGTCAATCTTTGGCAAACTGGCTGAGAAACGACAGAATCAGTTGCCCTGACTTGATTGTTTTAGAGGAAGTGAGCAGGGAGGAACTGGAGATAGGGGCCACGTCTCTAATGGATCATATTACACCTCCAGTGAGCATTTGTGAAAGCTTGGTCATAAGGCTTCATAAGATCATCTTACAAAACCGTATAAAGGCCTATGAACTCTGACCCATCATCCCACAATCATCCCACACCTTCATTTGCTTATGCAACCATGTTGGCTGTTCTGGTCAGATGATCTCTTACAGTAAGACCAATCAGGGAGCAGAAATAACTAATGGGTGGGTAGTAACCCCTAAGCATCACCAGATATGACCTTTTAACTATGAATTTGCAAGTAAGGGGCAGGAGAGAGAGAGTACCACAGATAAAGCACTTGCCTTGCACTCAGCAGAGTTGGGCTCAATCCCCGGCACCACATATGGTCCCTGAGCACAGAGCCAAGAGTAAGCCCTGAGCACTGCCTGAGTTAGCCAAAAACCAAAAAATGTGAAAGGCCAGAGAGATATTACAAAGGCCAAGGCACTTAGTTGCAGACAGTCAATCCCAATTCCATCCCTCGCACTCTTAATAGTCCCCTGAGCACCACTGGGAGTGATCCCTGACCACAGAGCCAGGAGTAAGTCCTGAACGGTACTGAATCTGACCCAACCCCTCACCTCCAAAAACAAAAACAAAAATTTAATGGTACCAGGAAGATTGCACAAATGTCTGTGTTCCGTGCCCTGAGCACCACTGAAGAAATAACAAAAGAACTTCAAAAAGAACTTCACATATACTTGAGAGGTAAAATTCAGGCTGTACCAACCACTCCTTTATGTGTATTTTTATAAAATTATTCACATAGTTCATCCCCAACTGGGAAAATCTTGTACCCTGTGAAAACCCTGCAGGGATTCTCCCCTTAGAACCATGAGTCACTAGTGACTCAGTAAGTTAAAGCATTGAAGCTGGTAAATGATGAACTGATTTGCCAAGTAGGGAGAACACTAGATTTTTTTTTTAATTAATTTTTTTTTTTTTTAGTGAAACACCATGAGTTACAGTTGTAGATTTACAATTTTTTGTGCTTGGGTTTTGATTATACAATGATCAAATACCCATCCCTCCACCAGTGCCCATTTTCCACCACCATGGATAATATCCCTCCCACCCCCATCCTTCCCATCTCACCCTGCCTCTGTGGCAGGGCAATCCCTTGGAGAACACTAGATTTTTGCTGGAACCAATTCATCCTTCCATGCCTTAACAGAAGTAAAGGGATCCAAGGCACACCGCTCAGGGTGAGGCCCACTTGCTCCTGGGCTGGGGAGGTCCCTGAGAAGCACCATTACCACCACAATAAAAGCATCACGGCCACAGTAGGATTCCCCAAAGTCTATTCCTCACTCTGTGATCAACAGTCAGAATTCAAGGTGACAACATCGGTCTCTGTTATTGAATGCTAATATTTCAAACACACTCAAGTGGCCTTAATCAGGAAACCCTGAATCTCCGATTTGGAGCTGCGAATGCAGCTCAATGGTAGAGCTCACGCCTCTCACAGGTGAGGTTCTGGGCTTGACCCCCAGCACTGCAAAAAAATAAATCTCCATTTACACGTCATCATTTTCCCATATGGATCATAAAAATTAAGCCCCTGCTAATACTCTCCAGCTTGCTAAGACAGCACTTGCATTTCTTTTTTTTTATTTTCAACTACAGTTTTTAATTTTAAAAATGATTTCCTAAAATTTAAACCATTTTATAAGTATATTATTTAAAGGTTTAATAATATTTTATTTGAAAATGAGGGAAATTTATTTGTAGTATACATTTATTACTTTAAAGAATAAAATTGTTAGTTTTTTTTGTTATTGTTGTTTTTATTTTTTTTAATTTTTTATTAGTGAAACACCATGAGGGACAGTTGTAGACTTACAAACTTTCGTGCTTGGGTTTCAGTTATACAATGATTGAGTACCCATCCCTTCACCAGTGCCCATTCTCCTCCACCAATGAACCCAGCAGCCCTCCCAACCCCCACCCCAACCCCTCTCATTCCACCCCTCCTCTGTGGCAGGGCATTCCCTTTTGCTCTCTCTTTCCTTTAGGGTGTTGTGGTTTGCAATAGAGGTATTGAGTGGCCATCAATAATGGTCTATAGTCCACTTTCAGCACACATCTCGCATCCCAAGCGAATCAATCCTCCAAACACCCTTTCCTTGGAGTTTCCTTCTCTATCTGAGCTGCCATCTCCCCCTTGCATTTCTTCTTTATGCAGAAAATCCATGGTTGTTCGAGAGAGCAGCATGTAGTGTCACCAGGTCTAGGCTGTCAGGGTGCCTTCTAAGACCACCGCGGCACCACCGCGAATGTCAACTCTTCCATCAGAACGCAGGGAAATGCCCAGTTCTCCTCCTCGGGGGGAACACTGAAAGGCTAAATCAAACATAAGATGAGTCACAAATGAAAATCATTTTCATCCTTTTAGACTAGCCAAACAGCTTTTATTATGAGCTCTAGAGGTCCACGATCGGTGTCATGTAGAAATTCCTCCATTTGTTGATCACAGCTCCAGCCTCTTCCTGAGGACTGAGGGGTCACAATGGCAATTTGATCAACAAAACTCACAGCTCAGCATTTTCCCTTCCTGAGCCTTTTCCCTTGGGCCACTTGCTCAATCTCTTCCTGGAATGCTCCAGACACACCCACCTACAGGTCCCTCCACGCTCTCACCAGGAGTTAGCATGGATATATGGAGGGAAAAAATAGACAAAGAGACATAAGCTTTGCAGGTTAAGCTAATAAAGAGGATTGGTTTGGGCTCATTGTTCCAGCTCTGAACAGGCCAATGGGGGTCCACTCACTGTGCTTAGTAAGAAACTACACCTCAGTCAAGAGAGAGACGGTCTCAGCCTTCTTCAAGCTCAGTGCTAAGGGGAGTGACTAGTCTCGCCTAGGAGAACAGCCTCCCTGCCATCCCGAATCAGTTCCCATAGGCCTAATTCCTCCTGGTGAGTGAGACCTGACAGTTTCATTAGTGGCAGACTCCAGCTTTGACCGAAAAGGACAATTAATCGCTAGGATTCTTGGTTTGAAAACGACTGTTTGATTCAATTGTGTGACTGGCCACAACAGTAAAACTTGGTGACCTCCTACCTCAATTTGTCTTGTTATAAACAACCTCTTTGAGCCAAAGTTATAGAACCAATTAAATTCTTTCAGAAAATATTTACTGGGCACTTACCTCCTGGATGTGTGTCCATAGGTTGGGAGGGATGTGAGTGAGAGGTGTTTAGGATATAGGATATACAGCGTATAGAGGACTCAAGGGAAAGGAACTCAAATTTTTTTCCATGTGGATAATACGGAACATTTTATGACATCTTCAGTTGGGTGGTACTTATGAGAAGGCATATGTGCTTAGAGTTAGGCAAATAAGAAAGAAATTGAAAAAGAACTATCTTACCACGCATCTCTTTCTTCCCCAGTTGCTGAGACCAGTAGCTGCCGAGAACAGTATGTGCAGACCCTTAAAAGAAGTGAAAAGTTTTGCTGTAATTATGCAACAAAAACAAGGATGACTTTGTGTAAGCTTGTAAGCATTATAATCATTGTAAGCATTGGCCAGGCCATAGGCACCTCAACCATCATGTCAGTGTGGCCACCCAGGGAGTGCAAACAGGAATGAAGACATGAAGAAAACACATGGGCCATGCATGCAACCAAACCAGGTTTGATCCCTGGTACCACATATCGTCTCCCAGCCATGTCAGAAGGGACCCTTGAGCACAGAGCCAGGAATAAGCCCTGAGCACTGTTGGATGTGGCTCCAAAAACCAAAAAGAATTTGTAAACCCTGAGCACTGCCAGTGTGGCCCAAACACCAAAAAAAAAAAAAAAAAAAGTAAAAAGGAAAGAGATAAAAAAAGATAGACACAGAATTTAAGGATTCTTCTCTAAATGATGTGTCTACTCCATCTTAAACTTTCTGAAGGCTGGGGGCTGGAGTGATAGTACAGTGGGTAGGGCATTTGCCTTGCATGCATCTGACCCAAGGTTCGATTCCCAGCATCCCATATGGTCCCCCCAGCACTGCCAGGTATAATTCCTGAGTGCAAAGCCAGGAGTAACCTCTGTGCATCACCGGGTGTGACCCAAAAAGAAAAAAAAAAACTTTCTGAAGGTTAAGACAAGGGCAGGTTCTAATTCTTTTTTTTTTGGGGGGGGGTCACACCCGGCGATGCACAGGAGTTACTCCTGGTTCATGCACTCAGGAATTACTCCTGGCGGTGCTTGGGGGACCATATGGGATGCTGGGAATCGAACCCAGGTTGGCTGCGTGCAAGGCAAACGCCCTACCCGCTGTGCTATTGCTCCAGCCCCAGGTTCTAATTCTTGTCCAGCCTTCCAACACCACATTGTCAGCCCTTGGAAGGAAAATCAAGATTATATATATATCTATATATATATATATATATATATATATATATATATATATATAGAGAGAGAGAGAGAGAGAGGTGCCTTGCTTCCTGCTGACCCCAGTTCAAATCCCTGGCACCACATATTTTTCCCCAAACACTGCCAGTCGTCACTCCTGAGCACGGAGCCAGAAGTAGCCTGTGAACCCTGCAGGGTGTGGCCCCAGAACCCCCCCTAATAAATTAACAAATAAAACAAAATAGATTGCCACTGACAGAAAAGTCTTTGAAGGGTGGGAAAAAAACATGCAAGAGGGGCTGCAGAGATAGGTAGTACAATGGGTAAGGCACTGTACAATGCATGAGGGGGACCCAGGTCCATTCCCCAGGTCCATTCCCAGCACAGCATACAGGCCCCTAAGCCATGCCAAGCGTCACCCCTGAGACACGTCCAGGAGCTGGGTGTGGCCTCAAAAAGTGTGGAAGAAAAGTTTCATTCTTTAGAAAATCCTAAGAAGTGTTATCCGAGAACCCTGTGGGATCACCAGCCACCCCAGGGTGCCCACATTCTTGTGTTTGTTTGTTTGGGGTTTTGCCAGGGGGTGGAGTAAAACTGGCAATGCTCAGGGATTACTCCTGGCTCTGCCCTCCTGAACTCTTGCTGGAAGTGCTCAGGGAGCTATATGGGACGCTGGGGACAGAAACCTGGGTCAGCCACATGCAGGGCAAGCACCCTACCTGCTGCACGGTCTCTCCCATCCAGTTTCACATTCTTACCCGAGTTTCATTTCATTCCTAAATACCCAGGATCCCAGACTCAGGCCCAGACTTAGGGTAAGGCTGGCCCCCAGAAGGAAAAAGGGGCAAAACATTGTTCGATTTCTAGCTCCCAACCACCACCTAAGCGTCTTTCCTTCAGAGACCAAATCTCACCGAATCCTACATCAAAGCTCAGGTAGACTGAACAATGATAAAAAGCCAAAGTCTTTGGGAATCTAGGGACCTGAGTGACTCCTGGCAGGTTCGAAGGACCAGATGGGATGCCGAGGATCAAATCTGGGTTGTCTGCATGCAAGGCATGACTTTGTGGTAAATTGGTAAGCAATTACAATCAATTACCTGATTTGGCCAAGCCAGAGGTGACTTAATCATCAAGTTAGCATGGTCACATCAGGGAGTGGAAACGGGAATGAAGATGGAAAGAAAACACATGGGCCACGCATGCAGTCAACCCAGGTATGATCCCTGGTACCACATATGACCTCCCCATCCCTGCTAGGACTGATTCCTGAGAGCAGGACCAGTAGTAATCCCTGAGCACAGCCAGGTACAGCCAAGAAAACAAATAAACAAAAGGGATAAAAGGGGAGAGGAGGGGAGAGGAGGGAAGAGGGAGGGGAGGGAAGGGGAGGAAAGGAAAAGGAGGGGAGGGGAGGGGAGGGGAGGGAATTTATTTGCCCAAGGTGAACAGTTAAGGAGGAGAAGCAAGGCCAGCCTGTCTTACACTAGGTCTAGTCCTGCCACACTGCCTCAATGACACTGTTTTTAATATGAAGGGCCAGGGTGGAGGTCCACATAGGGAAACGAAGACAACTCAAAGTCCAAGACCAAAGGGTCACAGGAAAGTCACTTAAACAGCTACTAGTCTGGCTCCCTCATGCTCTCACCCCCTGGGACCCCAGCCCGAGGGTACCTGTTACAGGGTCTTCCGCCACGCCAACCCATGGGGCGAAGTATCTGGAGTAAAAGTCAATGGCCTGGGGCTGTGCACCCGCCTTTCCTTTCAGGGTGACGATGAGTCCTCTCACCCTCCCTGTGTTCTCGACCTGCAGCAGACTCTGCGCGTTCACCTTCAGGTTCTCCAGGAATGACCTTTTCAGAATCAAGCAGATTAGGGCACACCGTCACAGACGCCCCAGCCCCTCAGGCCACGCAGCAGGAGGAGAGGGCAGTGCAAGTGGGGACACCCTCCATTCGGGAGAAGTTTCTGGGGCTGCCCAAGTCATATTCTGACTACGCAGCTCAGTCAGACCACACGTGGGCGCGGTAGCCCTCCCCCAAGCACTGGCAAAGCTGTACGTCTAGTTTACCTGTCGTAGGTATCACTGAGTCGGACGAGGAGCTTGCGGGTGTCTGGAGAATAGCGGATGTCCTGGACCTCTGTGTCACCGAGGGCAGTCTGCACCGACAGAGTGAAAGGTCTTCAGGAATGTGTCTGAGCCCGGTTCTGGGCCTCAATAGGAAGTCACCTCGCCTGAGTGTCTGCTCTGGGCCTGACATACCACCATGGTCATACCACCATGGTCCACCACCTCAGTTCAAGTTTTGCAACTCAGCCTATTGCCAGAGAAAGTCTCACTGTTCAAGAAGCCTTTAAGAGCACTCGTGTTTGCTCCCTGAGAGCAGAGGACATTGTCCATGAGTATTTTCAGGGTCTGGGGCAACAGTGCAGGGGGAAGGACACCTGCCTTGCAAGTAGCCACCCCAGGTTTGATCCTGGGCACAGGCACCCCGTATGGTCCCCTGAGCCATATGAATAGTGATCCCTAAGTGCAGAACCAAGAGTAATCCCTGAGCACTGCTGGCTACAGCAAAGAGGAGGAGGAGGAGGAAGAGGAGGAAGAGGAAGAGAAGACGAGTTGTTTGTCTCTGTGACCATGACTGGTCAGTCTCTCCCTTTACCCCTTTACCCCACCCCCTCCCCTCCCCTCCCCCACGCCCTCTGACCCTGCAGCAATGAAAACTGAATAACCAGTCTACTACAGTGTTTCTCAACCTTCCTCAAACCACGACCCCCTTCTTGTTTCCTTCCTGTGGCCTCCGTGTCCGACCAGTTGACCCTAGTTGTATGCCATGGCCCTCGTTATGCCATTTTCACCTGCACCCCCTCCCCTGGAATACCCTGAAGTCTATGCATGCTGTTCACTGAGAAACACTCGTCTACTGCATTTAAGATGAAGAGAGAGGTGCTCCATAGCCACCTCTTGGATTTGTTGTGAGAATTAAATAAAATAATATATGGGGCCGCACTAACTAGGATGTTCTAGATGTCAAGAACTCAAGGACACAGGTCAGAGAGATAGCACAGGGGTTAAGGCCCTGTCTTGCATTCAGACAACCTGGGCTTGAAGCCCGGGACCCCACATGGTCCCCCAAGCTCCAACCAGGAGTGCTCCATGAGCACAGAGCCAAGAGTAGCATGCTGTTCTCACTTCGATTATTTGCTATAGATCAATACAGCAACATTTTCTAAAGACACCTGATCTTCCCTTTCCCTAAGATTCTCAATCATCTTGCTATTATCCACGAACATAGGTATTTGGCAGCTCAGGATTCTGAGAGAGTTGTGGAAGGTGACAGACAAAAAACTCTCCAAACCATCCTGTGGCGACAGTTGCTCAGAGCAGACGAGATTCCAGAGCAGCTGTGCGCTGGCAGGGCTAGGCTTGAGCTGCTCCAGCTTCCAAGGCCAAGGTGCTCTCCACCCGGCCCTGGGTTGTCTGCCTCTGTGACCATGACGCTCATGTCCCTCTCTCTGGAAACTCCTGCAGCCTAATCCCATCTGTCTTCTAGGAACTCTCAGCATCCCTGAAGCGGGATCCAGCTCTTTTTGACATGGATTCTCCTGACTCTGCACTCAAAACTTACTCCTGGCAGTGCTCGGGGGACCACGTGAGCTGCCAGGGATCAAATCCAGGTCAGCTGCGAACAAGACAAGCGCCCTACTTGCTGTACCATTAGTCTGGTCCCCGATGTGGGTCCTTTCTTCTCTACAAATCAAGCACCGCATTGGGCAGCTCTGGCCTTCTGTGGGACAATGACATTGCAACCCCACGGGCTCTAAAAAATGTTTTATGATTATTATGATCATGATTATTGTTATTACTTAGCCCCACCCTCATACAGACCCCTTTAGGAAGTCAGGCTACCTGTAATATCCCCTCTGTCAGGGACCCATGCCTTCCTGCTCTCCCTGTCAAAGCACTCTCGGCCACCATGTCGAATTTGGGGACAACATCAGCTCCTAGGGAATTTCCCCTCTTTACTTCCACTCTCTGCTTGCCACACAGTAATCCCCCACCCCCACCCCTCTACAATTTCCTGTGGAGGCTAATGCCAGAAGTCAAAGAGGTCTAGGCTTCACTAAAGAGATCAACATTAATGTTCAAACCCTGTAGGTCGGAGAGATTATGCAGAGAGTTAGACTCTAGCCTTGCATGTAGTCAACCCCCAGGACAGTCCCTGACAAGCATAAGGTCTCCCAAGAAGCCAAAAGAATAAATGAAAACAAAACAAAATTCAAACCTCAAATGTGCCATCACTGCTCATCCAAGCTAAGTCTAGATTAGTTGGATTGGGAAAAGACCTATCTTTGGGGAATCCAATCTTTCTGCGTGAACAATAACAAAGGACCAGATCACAGACGAGTGGAGCGAGTATCTTCACCAACCTTTATCAACTCCTTTACTTCTCCGAAGTCCTAGATGGGGGAAAAGACAAAATCATTATGAAACAAGCAGGCTATTGGTTGAGTCTTGTTTATGCCAATAGTTAGGAATAATCAGAAAGTGAACCAGAGAGATAGCATAGAGGATAAGGCACTTGTCTTGCACTAGGTTGACCCAGAATTTGTTCCCCAGCACCACATATGGTCCCCAAGCCACACCAGGAGTGCCCCTTCCTGAGCACAGAGCCAGGAGTAAGCCCTGAGCATGGCCCCATGTGGCCTAAAATCAAAAATGAAAAGAAATAGTTAAAGGGCTGAAGAGATGGTCTAGCAAGTTGGGCACTTGCCTTGCACACACCAGGCCAAGTTCAATCCCTGATACCCTGCCAGGAGTGATCCCTGAGCACAGTTGGGTATGAAGAGAATGAAAGAAAGAAAGGAAGAAAGAAAGAAAGAAAGAAAGAAGGAGGGAGGGCACAGAGAAAGAGAAAGAGAGGGAGGGAGGGAGGTAGGAAGGAAGGAAGGAAGGAAGGAAGGAAGGAAGAGAGGGAAGGAGGGAGGGAGGGAGGGAGGGAGGGAGGGAGGGAGGGAGGGAGGGAGAAGGAGGGACAAAAGGAGAAGGATAGATGGAGGGAGAAAGAGGGGGGAAGATGGATGGAGGGAGAGACGGAGGGAGGGGTGGAGAGAGAGAGAGAAAGAAAGAAAAGGGGGAAAAAGAAAGAAAGGGGGAGAGAGAGAGAGACAGAGAGAGAGAGAGAGAGAGAGAGAGAGAGAGAGAGAGGACTGACCTGAGGATTGGCTGGATAAAGAGGAAAGTCCAGGATGATGCTATCCTCTCCTTTTCTGGCTCTGAGTTCCCCACTCAGAGTCATGAAGGTCAGAGTGCTGTTCACATTTTCTGGTCAAAAAAAAAAAAGACTTCATTTATCAGGAAACTTTTGTTTTTGTTTTTGTTTTATTTTTTTATTTTTTTTATTTTTTTTTTATTTTTGTTTTTGTTTTACAGCGGGTAGGGCGTTCGCCTTACACGCGGCCAACATGACCAACCCGAGTTCGATTCCTCCGCCCCTCTCGGAGAGCCCGGCAAGCTACCGAGAGTATCTCGCCCGCACGGCAGAGCCTGGCAAGCTCCCCGTGTTGTATTCGATATGCCAAACACAGTAACAACAAAGTCTCCAGTGGAGACGTTACTGGGCCCGCTCGAGCAAATCGACGAACAACGGGAGGGCCTTTACCTTTACCTTTTGTTTTATTAGTGAAACACCATGAGGTACAGTTGTAGACTTAAAGGTTGTGCCTGGGTTTCAGTTATACAATGATCGAGTACCCATCCCACTACCAGTGCCCATTCTCCACCCCAGGAAACTTTTTGAGAATGAATCAAGAAATAGGAAAATAAGTTCTGCTCTTTGTCAGCACTTGTATTTTGACACTACTGTGTCTCCGTTCTGAGATGGGGGCCAAGTTCACAGCTAAGGGAGCAGAGCGAAAATTCTAGTTGGCTTCTAACTTGAGAACCAAAAAATAATCGATCAGACTTGACATAAAAGCACATTGCTGGGGGCTGGAGCAATAGTACAGTGGAGAGGGTGTTTGCCTTCTACGCGGCCGACCCGGGTTCGATTCCCAGCATCCCATATGGCCCCATGGCTCCACCTGGTGTCCAGGCTTAACCCCAGGCCACATGCATGCCCCAACACCCACTCCAGACCTTGGATGTATTTTTCTAGCCACTGGAACAAATTTAACCTCATTAAACTTCAATTTCCTCATCAATGAAATAGCATAATAATTAAACTGATTTTGATTTTATTTTATTTTACCAGTAAGACAGGAAAATTAAACCTCCTAGAAATACAAGGTATCCTAATGCAGATTTTTTTAAAATATCTACCCACAATAATTCTAAAGTTATATAAACTCTACTAATCTAAGAATAGTATTAGAATACAAAAGTTATAAACAACAGTTTGATGTGAGCAAATAAGACACCCTATATAACCAAACTGTACATAAAGTTTTTCTTTAAAGACTAGACTACAAATCCTGACATTTAATCCTTCCATGTCACTAACACAACTCAGGCCAACGATCTATCTGATCTCAACTGTGCAAAATTTTTAGGGAAAACAAATATTTGTGAATTAATTATTTTCTCCTTCCCATAGTATTTATATAACATTTAATTATGCTCATAGTTAAGGGAATTCAACTGCATTTTAAAACTACTGGCCTCAAAACATAAATTCTGGGGGTAGGAGCGATAGTCTAGTGGGTAGATTGTTTGCTTTGCACATGGCAGATCTGGGTTCAATCCCTGGCATCCCATATTTTCCCCAGAGCCAGGAATAATCCCTGAGCATCACCAGATGTGACACAAACAAACAAACAAAAACCTTAAATTATGAAATTCATACTTGACTTTCTCTCATATAATTGATATAAGACACAATTCCTGACAAGCAATTTTCAGGACTGATTTTATCTGAACTCGAGACCACCTTATATGGGAGAGAGCAAGTCCTCCTTTCTAAGCTTCACCTTCAAACCAATCAACATGGGGTCTGCAAAAGACACTCAACTTCAGTAAAACTCTTTTCTTTCAAACCCCAGCTCCTAGACCATATGTGAGTATGTTTGCTTGTCCTTTTTCACTGAAACTAAAATTATCTTTTAAAAACATTAACAGGGGTAGGGGGCCAGAGTGTATAGTGACTAGGTGGTACAGTGACTAGAGCTTGTATGAGGCCACCTGGGTTCGACCCCCAGCACCCCATATCATCCCCTGAGTCAACCGGAAGTGATCTGTCAGCACAGAGCCAGGAGTAGAACTTGAGTATCATCGGGTGTGCCTCCACTCAAAAAAAATTTTTTTTAGCATTAACAGTTTCTTGGGACAGAACTCAGAGACCCCTGTCTTGAATATGCAAAGGCCTGAGTTTGATCCTTGGCTTTGCACAGCTCCCAGGCACCGCTGGGGGCCTTCCTGGAGGCCCCAGTACTGTGGGCTACTCTCATGGTCCCCAGCACCACTGGTCCCAAGCAGCAGTGCCTGAATCTAGCACTGAACCACCCAACTGGCTGGTATTGCAATGACTGGGAGTACCCTCTCCACCAGAAAAATGACGAGAAGAAAGTCATTTTTACAAAACTGTAACAGATTCTATTAACAAAGATCTCACTCTCCTCAGTCTCAAGCCAATGCCCATCCCTCAGGAAGAGTCCATCACTGTGGTTACATCCGTGGCCTCTGCCCATGCACTTCCTCCCACTCTAGCTCTTTGTCCTTGTGGCTCCCCGGCCAGAACGTGAGAGTGACTGGTCAGTGAGAGCTCGGGAAAGAAGATCACATTACTTATTTTGTGAAACAGTACAGCTGCAGAAGCCAGGGTGGCGTGGCCGCAGAGGGGGACTTCACTCGCAGGTGTGAACCACCTTAGTCCAAAGCAGGCACCTTCGGAGGAGAAAAGAGATCATTCGATTACAAGTGGATCACCAGTAATTGATAGCTGTACAATGAAGGGTGAAGTTGAGGCAAGTGGCCTCAGCCCCCACAGTGCTGGATCTAGAACTGGCGCGCTCAAATTAACCAATACCCTCACACCCCCGGATAAACTGAAAAACAGCTCTCAATCTCCTCCAATATACACTTCCAAATATATTGTTCACCCCAAAGAAGATGCTCTGGAATAATTCAAAATGGCTTTAAAATGCATACTTAGGGTCTAGAGAAAGAGCACAGCAGATTGGGTGCTTGCCTTCAACACACCCCACCCAGCGTCCATCCCCAGTGCCGTCTATCATTCTCCAAGTCTCAGCAGGAGGGATCCCTGACGCAGAGCCAGGAATAAGCCTTGAGTCCCCCCACATTCAAATAAATGAATATTTACTTTGTGTAAAGTTGTCAGTTGGGCTTAGTTTTCGGATAAAAGCAGTTTCCGACAGATTCATTTCCCTGGCAATTTTTTGATGCATGTCTTCATCCAGTTCCTAAATTGGGTGGGGAAGAAGAACAAATTATTAACACTTCAGAAACACAAACAGGCTTCTTTGGACCAAAAAATGTCGTAGTTAATGAATATTAAACATTACATGCATTAAAAGGATAGGTGAATATAAAAAGACGCCCTACTGATGGGAAGAAAATATTTGCACACCATACATCAAGACAAGACATACAAATGAAAATCCAAGACATATAAAGCAAAGCGTGCAAAAAGCTCAGAAGTAATAGAAACCAAAAAACAGAACCAGAAGCTGAGCAGACACTTCCCCAGAGAGGATACATGGATGGTCAATAGGTATATGTACACGTGTGCGTCATCATGTATTACCAGGGAAGTACAATCAAAACGACAATGCGACATCATCTCACACCAGTGAGAATGGCAAATGTCAAGATGACTGAAAACAACTCATGCTGGTCAAGATGTGGGGGGAGATAAATAAATAAATAAAAAGAGGTGGGGGAAAAGGAACTCTCATTCCCTGTTGGAGGGAATGTGATCGGATTCAGTCTCTGTAGCAAACAGTAGCTTCCATATGACCTAGTGATTCCACGTCTTAGAATCAGCCCACAGAATGCAAAAACATTAATTCAAAAATATATTTGGCTGGAGAGATAGCACAGCGGGTAGGGCGTTTGCCTTGCACGGGGTCAACACGGGTTCGATTCCCAGCATTCCATATGGTCCCCTGAGCACCGCCAGGAGTAACTCCTGAGTGCAGAGCCAGGAGTAACCCCTGTGCATCGCCAGGTGTGACCCAAAAAGCAAAATAAAAAAAAAATTTGGACATCTATGTTCATTGCAATTCTTAGCACAATAGTCTAATATGGAACTAACGCAAATATCTGAAGAAATCAATAGCTATTTTCTCAAATCCCAAACAAAATGCAGTGGATCTTTATTTCTTCCTCAACATTTTCTTCCAGAAGAGTACATGCAATAACGTTTAGAAGAGTTCATCATAGCCCAACGCATAGTAAATGCTTGATAAATGTTAGCTTTTCACTTTGACTCAAAGCTTCAAGGTTAACCTCGAAGTTGAAGATTAAGTCATACTACTAGACCTCCCATGTCACAAACTATCATTATCCCTTTTACAGGCTACAGACAGGAACACCCATATTCCATGGATAAAATGGATGGGAAGCAGCCACCAGTCAACTAATGACTGCAGTGCCCATGAGCAGCACTGAGGGAACTTGTTAAAAATGCAGAATTTCAAGGCCAGAATTAGCTAACAGGGCAAGAGTTTGCCTGCTGGAGACTTACATTCAACTCCATTTTTCAATCTATTATTTCCCCCAAGCGCCTACCCTGAAATAGCCCCCCACTACTGATGGATATGGTCAGTGAGAGGTCTGGATATCTCTCTGGGCCCTTTAAGTCTCATCTTTAAAGACCCAGCGGGTAAAGTTTTTGCTTTGGATGCAGGAGAACTGGGTTTGGTCCCCAGCATCCCTGAGTACTGCCAGGAGTAATTCCTGATTACAGACAGAGCCAGGCGTAAGCCCTGAGCATCGCCAGGTGTAACCCCCTCCAAAAAAAAAAGTTCTAAATAAATAAATAAAGCTCCAGGGCAGGGATGCAGAGAGAGTACAGGAGATCAAGCGCTTGCCTTGCAGAAAGCTGACCTCGGTTTGATCTCTCGCACCACATATGGTTCCCTGAGCAACTTCGGGGATTGCTCCTGAGCACAGAGCCAGAAATGACCCCTGCGCACTACCAGAGGTAATCCCAATTCCCAAATATATAAATGAATAAATAAATAATAAGCAAAGATGAGGCTTTGAGATGGACTTAGAACAAGGGCAGATTCGGGTGAGGAAAATGTGGCCAAAGAATTTTGTATCGAAAGCTTCTTGGACAAATCGCTTGACCTTTCATTCATCCCGTTCCTCCAGTGACCTGTAAGGCCTTGACCCTCAGGGAGGCTGTGAGTCCAGGCGAGAAGAACTGAACAGGCGAAAGCAGAATGTGAGCGGGCACCTGGAGACTGGGGCATTACTGGATTTTGCCTTCCAGGCTGCAGGAACCAGCCCTTCCTCTAGAATCTAGTCAAACTCTTGTCTTTCCTGCCTTTGTCTGTTATTTCCCTCAATCTTTAGGGCAGGAATAGCTCAAAAGCATGAAAGCATCCCATTTTGTAGCCAGATTCACTACCGATTGGTCAAAGATTTCTTTGCAAATTGTAATTTTTTTTTTTTTTACATCAGAGCACTTCACTAACCACAAACTCTTATGTCCTCTGTACCTTGGTATATCATACCAATCACTATTGGAATTTTTGTAACGATAATTTCTGTTCCAAGACATTTTAAATGCATTCACTGTAGATGTAAGGGACCTACGGAAGGAGACAGTAGCAGCTCTTATATGTGCCTCGGGCCTCTGAATATCTATGCTGGAACCTAAGTTGAAGATAATAGTGAATGAAGAGCATTACTAATGTTGCTTCAACTTGGGTAGCTGTAGAAACAAAAGAAAGACTGCTTTTATTATGCTGCACAAGTTTGTGTCCGAGAAGCAAATGATAGTTATAGCTTTCATACCCATTTTTCCTTGGCAATCTCTCGTGCATCAAACTCTCATCACTCGAACAGAGTCACATTTGTTTCTCTGAATTCCTTTGTATGATCTCGGGACGCTTGGGAACTCAGAGGAACGTTTTTAAATACTCCCATCTTGTGGCAGTTCAGAAAAAAGACAAGTCCGGCTACTCATTTATTGGTCCCTCTACAAGACACTTCAGCAAAGGAGGAGCACTTTTTGTGTTGTTTGTTTTGGGACCACACCCAGTAATGCTTGGGACTGACTTCCAGACCTGCACTCAGGGATCACTCCTGGCAGGGCTCAAGGGACTATATGGAGTGCTGGGGATCAGCCCTACGTGCTGCACTCTCTCCAGTCCCAAAGGAAAATCACTTGGATATAGGAAGTTGTAAACCATCCAGGAATGGGCCAAGAGCATGCTTAATATGCAGGAAGCCTAGACTCAACCCCTCACATTGCAAGTTCCCCCAAACACCTCCAGGAGTAACTCCCAAGCTGAAGGTAGCCCCTGAGCACCAGTGGGTGTGGCTCTCCTAAAACCAAGAAATTAAAAATAAGTAAATAAGAGGGCTGGAGCAATAGCATAGTGGGTAGGGCATTTGCCTTGCACACGGCCGGCAGGGGTTCGATTCCCAGCATCCCATATGGTCCCCTGAGCACCACCAGGAGTAAATCCTGAGTGCATGAGCCAGGAGTAACCCCTGTACGTTGCCGGGTGTGACCCAAAAAGGAAAAAAAAGTAAATAAACAAATCTTCCAGAAATAAGTAGGCGATTCCTTCCAAGACACCTAGGTTTCCTGCTGTGAAGTTAGATCCACAGGATGCAGCACTCAGACTACAAGTCAGCTTCAGTTTCTAATGGTTCTTTGTGGGGCCAGGGCAGGCAGGAAAGGTTTGATCTATACCCAGCAGCGCTCAAGGGCACTGGCTCCCTGTTCATGGACTACTCTTGGGCTTGCTCAGAAGACTGAGTGTCTTGATCCCTGGACTCATTCTTTGGCCCCCTGATGAGAACCATTCTTTGGTTCTCATCGACACCTAGTCTCTAGTCCCATGAGGGACCGAAAGTCTATACCTGCCAATCACTCCTGTCCCAGTGAGAACATAAAATCAACCCTAGACTAGAACTCTTTAAAGATTTTGCCATAACTGAATGAAAATCTCCACTTTCACTCTGCAGGTATTCGGACCTCCCACATGCTAGGTCAGCTACGTTGGAACAAGTCAAAATGGCTTAGGATCTCGTAGGATGAGGACAGGCATTGGAGGACTTACAACAAGAGTGGTGTATGGAGGAGAGGGCAGAGAGTACAGGGGTGAAGGCTCTTGACTTGCCTGCAGCCAACCCCAGTTCAATTCCCATCACTGCTTTGGGTTACCCCAAGCACCACCAAGAGTAATCCCTGAGCACAGAACCAGGAGTAAGCCCTAAGCAGAGTCAGGTACGACCCAAAAACAAAAGAAACAAACAAAAAAGACATATAAACCAACTGGAAAGTAAGGAGAGGATGAAGAGGACTAATGGTGAACACGGTGGTTAAAGCATGAACTCTGGTCAGGCCGACCTGGGAGAGAAGCTGGAGTTACTCAGAAGTGCGTGGCCTCAGGTGAATTACTAAAAAATTACTCAAACTGCTTCAGTTTGCTTATGGTACGGTGGAGGTGGTAATAAAACCTACCAGAGATAGAAAGATTGAGAGAATGAAATGAGAAGCAGTAACACCCTGCTTGCCTTACATGCCTGGCGTCACTCCCCACCACTGACCTAAGCCAGTGAGGATGTGAGAAGCAGGAATTCGCAGGACAATGCCTCCTCTGATTTGCTCTCTTCCCCAAACACCGGGCAAAAGAAAACCATTCAATGTCCTAGAAGAATCTTCTCGCTTTTCGTATTCCTCGTCGGGGCATAATAATGAGATATGCAGAACACTCTAAAAACCTCAGGATCCCCTGACTCGGATGGTCACAATTGTTCAGTAACCCTCTCTCTGAGGAAGCGCACCAACTTTGGAAATGGACAGTGATGCTAAGCTTCCCCACTAAATTAAAGTATTGAACATAGTATTATTATATACTTTCTTTTCCTCAATCTATAATGCACCAAGCAATAAGGGGATTTTAGCATTCAGTAAGTTTAACAAGGAAAAGTGGACGAGCTAAAATTCAGGAGGCTAAAATTAAGCATTTCTCTTTAAAAGTGCAATTTCATGGGGAATAAGTGCAAGGTCATGGGTCAGAGCGATAGTACAGTGGGTAGGATAGTACAGTGGCCTTGCACGAGGCCAACCTGCGTTTGATCGCCGACACTCCATATGATCCCTCAAGCCTGCCAAGAATGATTCCTGAGTGCAGAGTCAGGAGTAAGCCCTGAGCACTGCCAAGTATGGCCCAAAAAACAAACAATAAAATAAAATAATAAAAGTACAAGAGCA